TCAGTACGTCCCTCCCCCCAAAACAAAAAGCAAAATATTAGCAATTGAATCTAGCTGAGTGTATTCACTACTGTATGATTCTTTTCATTTTTCTGTATGCTTGGCACTTTTCACAATAAACATAATTTTCAAACTGTGCATTGTCCTGTGTCATTAACTCTTTAATGCCTTTCCAATTTCGCTTTTAAATATGATAATAAATATTTATTTATTTAGCTCCACACCAGTATGGAGCCCAATGCGGGGCTCCAACTCATGACCCTAAGATCAAGAGTCTGATGCTTAACCCACGGAGCCATCCATACGCCCCATGAATATCTTTTGTACAGAAATACTTGTTCACATTCTTTCTTCAGGGTATATTCTCATTATCAAGGAGAATGACTGGGCCCAAGACAGAACACTGTAATGACTCCTGATAAATATTTCCAAACTGCTTCCTAAAAAGACGGCACCTTTTCCCACCACCCTTGTGAACAATTAAATGGGTCTTTAAAAAAAAAATCTACAAAGGATTTTGTTGATTTTACATATGCTAAGACAGAAAATGTGTAAGAAGATATAATACCAAAGGGTCAGTGGTTTTCTCTGGGTAATGGAATTATGAGTGATTTTCATTTTCATTTCTGAATTTATTTTGTACTGTATCAGATTTTTCCATAACACGCATACTATTTCTGTAATTTAAAAACAGCAACTTTACAAAAGGATAAATAAGGTAGGATTCTGGTTACACGAAATACCTAGAATAATTAAATTCACAGAGCTAGAAAGCAGAATAGAGGTTACCAGAGGCTGGGGGAAGGCAGAATGGGAAGTTAGTGTTTAATGGGCAGATTTTCAGTTTAGGATGATGAAAAAGTTCTGGAAATGGACAGCAGTAATGTCTTCGCAACAATGTGAATAAACTTAATGCTGATGAATTGTACGTGTTTTTTTAAAAGATTTTATTTTTTTAAGATTTTTATTTATGTATTTGACAGAGAGAGACACAGTGCGAGAGGGAACACAAGCAGGGGGAGTGCGAGAGGGAGAAGCAGGCTTCCTGCAGAGCAAGGAACCCAATGCAGGGCTCGATCCCAGATGACCCAAGCTGAAGGCAGACACTTAACGACTGAGCCACCCAGGTGCCCCTAAAGATTTTATTTTTAAGTAATCTCTATACTCAACGTGGGGCACAAACTCATAATCCCGAGATCAAGAGTTGCACACTCCATCAACTAAGCCAGCCAGGGGCCCTCAAGTGTACATTTAAGAATGGTTTAGGGGTGCCTGGGTGGTGCAGTTGGCTAAGGAGCCGACTGTTGGTTTCAGCTCAGATCATGGTCTCCAGGTGGTGAGACCAAGCCCAGGATTGAGTTCTGTGCTCAGCGGGGAGTCGGCTTCAGTACTCTCTCTCTCCCTCTGCCCCTCCCTCCAGGCTCTCCCTCTAAAATAAATCAATCAATCTAAAAAAAAGGGGGGGGAGGGTTTAAATGGGGTGCCTGGCTGGCTTAGGGGGTAGAGCATGAGACTCTTAATCTCGTGGTTGTAAATTTGAGCCCCACATTGGGTGTAGAGATTACTTAAAAATAAAAAAAAAAAAAAGTTAAAATGCTACATTTTATATTGTGTGTATTTTGCCAAATTAAAGAAAAATTAAACAGTAAAAGTTATATTACATACACAAATTAAGAATGTTCATCATAAATGTTTATAATAGTGAAAAAGTATCAACAACTTACATACCCACCAACATAATGGTTAAGAGTAAATTACCACCTATCAAACAATGAAACATGAAGCACAAGTGAGGCTATGGATTTGTATTTTTGCTGCAAACAGACCCATGATATGCTGAAAAAAATAAGGCTATCATATAGTAAGCATGATCTCATTTTGATATTTAAAAAGAGAAAAAAAGGGCGCCTGGGTGGCTCAGTCGTTGGGCGTCTGCCTTTGGCTCAGGTCATGATCCCAGGGTCCTGGGATCGAGCCCCACATTGGGCTCCCTGCTCGGCAGGAGGCCTGCTTCTCCCTCTCCCACCCCCTTGCTTGTGTTCCTGCTCTAGCTATCTCTCTGTCAAATAAACAAATAAAATCTTTTAAAAAAAAAAAATGAATAAAAATAAAAAAATAAAAAGAGAAAAAAATATGAATAAATAGTAAATAGAGATGTCTGTGAGGTGAAACCCTGAAACATTAGCAGTGGCCACTTCTCAATGGTGGGACTATGGGTGATCTTTTTCTTCCTTTTAACACTTTCTGGAAATGGGCAGCTGTTACTTTCACAATCAGAAAAGCAATAAAACTCTCTGAAAGAGAATAAAGAACCTGACATAAATGACAGTGTCCGAGATCACAGACAGATGAGGGGAATGAAGACTTGCGCACAGTTTTCTTGACTCAAGTGGGCACACCCTGTTCAGAGCCGGCCGCGGGCAGTTTGTGAGGGTAGCTCAGCTGCCAGACGGCAGCTCATGTCCTTGCCAGCATCCCGATCCCATCACGGGCCTTATCTCCACCTATCTATCCACAGACACTCCACGAGGCCACCAAACACCTCTCACTTAAAGGGCAACAGAGCGGAAGCGCCTGAGCACATGAGGACCTGGACAAGGGAAAGCAGTTTCCGCAAAAAGGGTGGGCATGGAAAGAAAACACTCTGGAGAGAAAACCAGCCGGCAGCTAGTTAGGTTACAGCTTTTTCCTTCTGGGGAGGTGAGGCCTGCAATGCACAGGCAAGCCGTTCTTCACTCAAGATGCCCAAATTAGTTCACTAAGCTGCCTACTCACAGCCTGGCACCGGGCACCAGGCATGCCTGGGGGCCCTGTGTGGCCCAGCCCCTCCTCCCGCCGTGAAGCACAGGGCAGACACCACTTGCTTCTCACCCAGTGTTCTTCCGCCACCAACAGACGGATGTCTGGCTGTTAGCAGGACACAGGGACCCCATTCCAGCCGGCAGTATTATTAGCCCCTGACCACACAGTGCTAACTACAAAAGTACCCTGTGAAATGCTGCCTCTTTTTGGCTGATGGCTTGGCAGGTTGTTCAAGGCCCACTGCTGGGCCTAAACTGATCGGGCTTTGGTAGCATCTAAATGAGGTTCCCAGATACAAGTAAAGTTAAGTAGGGACTAGGACAGGAAGGGACGCTGACTTACTTTATTGTTGAAAAGAAACCAAGGCAGCAGTGTGGCAAGACCTGGGTGAGATCTTGGCTGGCTATAACCTAAAACCTTGAGTAAGTGATTACATCTTTCTGAGCATTAGTGTCTTCAGTTAACTAATGCGAAAATAATAACAAATACAATAATAAAAAAATGATAATGCTACACTTCAAGGGATTATTGTGACAATTAAATGTGGCAGTACAGGGGGCACCTGGATGGCTCAGTCAGTTAAGTGTCTGCCTTCGGCTCGGGTCATGATCTTGGGGACCTGGGACCAAGCCCCGAGTTGGGCTCCCCACTCAGTGGGGAGTCTGCTTGTCCCTCTCCCTCTGCCCCTCCCATCCTCATGCTCTCAAATAAATAAATAAAATCTTAAAAAAAAAAAATGTGGCTGGGGGCGCCCGGGTGGCTTAGTTGGTTAAGCGTCTGCCTTCGGCCCAGGTCATGATCCCGGGCTCCTGGGATCGAGCCCCACATCGGGCTCCCTGCTTCGCGGGGAGTCTGCTTCTCCCTCTCCCTCTGCCTGCTGCTCTGCCTACTTGTGCTCTCTATCTCTCTGTCAAATAAATACATAAAATCTTAAAAAAAAAAGAAAATGTGGCTGTATAGGTAAAGCACAGAATATCATCAGTACATGGTACTATTGTTATTAGCTGTATAACCCTGGACTAGTCTTTTCTCTTGAGTTTTCTTCCTTTTTTTTTTTCCTTTTAAGATTATTTATTTATTTATTTATTTGAGAGGGAGAGAGAGAGCACGAGTGAGGGGTGGGGGGCAGAAGGAGAGGTAGAAGCAGACTCCCTACTGAGCGGGGAGCCTGACACGGGGCTCGATCCCAGGACCCTGAGATCAGGACCTGAGCCGAAGGCAGACGCTTAACCAACTGAGCCTCCCAGGCGCCTCTTTCTCTGAGCTTTGACTTAACTTTTCTTCACCTATAAAACGGTTGTTGTGAAGAGAGACCATGTACATAAGACAACCACCACAATGCCTGAGACATAACTGCTGCTCAATAAACTCAATACAGCCATCCTCACTAGTGCTACAACTGGAGGCCTTCTGGTTACCCTCCAAAGACGCTCAGAGTGAGAGGATCCCAGAACTGCCTGGAAAGGGGTTCCTGACACAGTCACCATCTGGACCTCTCCAATTAAATCCTAAACCTGCCGAGGATGAGAGCAAAAGACTGGTCACCTAGGGCGAAGGCATCCCAGGATCCAAGGGCGAGGACGCTGGGAACATGGATGCCCTTGCTGCTAGTGGTATAAACTGGTAAAGCAGTCACTGGAGGGCAATGGGGTTATATCTACCAAATGATAAAATCACTATCTTCTGACCTAGCCACTCCCTTTCTAGTAATGAATCCTGCAGTTATACCTGCACACATACAAGATGATATGCACATGGTCATACACTACGTGGTAACAAAAGCCTGGCCACAACCTGAATCTGTACAGGACAGGTTCAATAAATTATAGTGCTCCCATGTTGAAATACTACACAGCAACAGAAACAAAGGAGGAATCTATGTACTGATCTGGAAATATCCCCAAAAGATAATGTAAACTGAAAAGAGAAAGGTATAGAGTAGTGTATATAGATTTTACATTACCTTGAATTTTCAGCCATGTGAATATAAATGATCTATGACAAAAGATAACCTGCACCTCTCTTTCTTTTTCACATACTGGTGCTATATCAGAGGTCGATGGGAATAGGCAGAATGCGGTAAAGGAGGCTCTCCTCAGGGCTTTTGCTCTTAATAAGGGATCTGCCCAAATTAAAGCAAATACTGAAAGCAGACATTTATCAATCCAGGCTAACCTGTGATAAACACCGAGACTAACCTGACGAAGTCTTCGGGAAGCAGGTCAGGACTAACACCCAGGGAGTCAAGCACGTCGTTTCGAATCTGGAGCAACAACTCAGAATCTTCCCCAAAGGTATCAGAACTAGGATCTCTTCCTTTATCTGTGCGGAACTTCAGGAGCACTAAGAAAGGCAAAGAAGGTAGGTTAAAAACCAAGTCTTTTTTTTTTTTTTTTTAAGATTCCATTTATTTGAGAGAAAGAGGGACAGAGAGAGAGAGAGAGAGAGAGCAAGAGCAAGCAGGGAGCAAGAGGGAGAGGGACAAGCAGGCTCCATGCTTAGGCCCCAATGTGGGGCCCAATCGCCCGACCCTGAGATCATGACTCAAGCTGAAATCAGAGTCAGACACTCAGCCAACTGAGCTACCCAGGCACCTCCAAAACCAAGTCTTTTCATAACAAATGCTTATGGATGTTGAGAACGTAAACACAGAAAGTGGTACGTTAATCAAAATGAGAGCCAAGTGAAAGATAATCTACTTTTCATTTGCAAACATAGAGGCAATCAATGATTACAAAAATGACTAAAATTACTGTGATGAGTGCCACAATAGTGTAACAGAAGATCTGACATCCTTGGTGGGGTGGTGTCAGTTAAGGACTCCCCAAGGAAGTAGTAACCAAGTGGACTTGGTTTGAATGTGTGAATTTGGGGGCAGGGGAAGTAGGGGAGAAGCCTCAAGCAGAGGGAAAAGACCCAATTATGACCCAGAAGACAGGTCTGGAGTGGGAGGCATGCATTCTAGGCATCAGTTCAAAGGGCTGCTTCAGCCAGAAAGGCCAGCCAAATGCTCAGACTCATCAGACAGGCAGGTCATTACAAACAAAACCTCCCTCAGTACAATAATTATGTCAACCTCCAAAAACGAATGTTTAATTTTGCTTGTGAACCAGGGGAAAGGTTCAGATGATGGCAGCAAATTAGAGCTACTGTGTAATGAGACCCTAACAAGGTTTGAATTTTTAACCCCAACAAAAAGACACAGGCAGGAGCCTAAGACTGATGAAAACACCAGCACCTTCTAATGCCAGCACACCTTGTCCACGATGTTCACTGCATGCTGGGTGGATGGTATCCTTATTCCCCGCAAGCTCCCCAAGATGGGCGCACAGCCGGCCTGGCGCCCCATCTCTAGGGCAATGCCCTTCCCACCTGACACTGCTGCTTCAGAGCTTGGGTAGACACAGATAGGGCCCGGTGTTCTGGGACAGCAGCTCATGCCCAGAGGGGGCTTCCCAGTTTTAAAAAAGTGCTTCCTTTTAAGTCTCATCGACAACTGCTGACGGAAAAGAGAACTTATTCAACAAATTATACTCTCCATCAGTACAAGGGGCTCTTCCCTAAAAATTAAGATGGACTGAAAAGTGACCCAACTGCTGTGAGGCTCTTTAAAAATCCAAGGATTCGGGGGCGCCTGGGTGGCTCAGTCGTTGTGTCTGCCTTCGGCTCAGGTCATGATATCCCAGGGGTCCTGCGATCGAACCCCGCATCGGGCTCCCTGCTCAGAGGGAAGCCTGCTTCTCCTCTCCCACTTCCCCTGCTTGTGTTCCCTCTCTCGATGGGTCTCTCTCTGTCAAATAAATAAATCTTTAAAAAAATAAAAATAAAAATCCAAGGATTTGGAAGCCACCCTCGACTAAGGAATCTGTCCTTCGACTTGTTTTAAGACTCACAGATCGTTTCGGTGATGAGCGGCCTGGGTTGAGAACCACTAAGTAGCAGGAATTCATTCATTCACCGGTACGATGGCCAAGCACTCACTGTGGGCCCAGCAGGCCCAGGGGCTGCAAGGTGTGGCCAGCCTGCTCCGGTGAAGGCAATGGGGGTGGGGGCAGAGGGAGGATTCAGGAACCACAGCAGATGGCCCCCTCAAGCCCTAGAGGAGCTCATAAATGGGTTGTCAAGTGCTCCAGGAAGGCCCATTTAGGGAAAAGAAGACACAAACTGCCCTGGGCTGGGCTTTGATTCTCAGAGACAGCACCCCCCCCCATGCCGTCTGCATTTCTCTGGCCACCTCCGCACATCAGCAACTTCGAAAAAACAACTCCAAAATATGTTTTTTTTAAATAATGTTTTATTGTTATGTTAATCACCATACATTACATCATTAGTTTTTGATGTAGTGTTCCATGATTAATTGTTTGTGCATAACACCCAGTGCTCCACGCAGAACGTGCCCCCCTCAACACCCATCACCAGGCTAACCCAATCCCCCCACCCCCCATGACTCCAAAATATCTGTTTTGAATACTGTTTTGTTGTCTGGGGATGTTACTTTCCTCTTTTCAAGAACACAGCTCCAGGGCTGTGGCTGGGTGGCTCAGTAAGTTGAGTGTCTGACTCTTGATTTTGACTTGGGTCATGATCTTGGGGTCATGGGATCGAGCCCCGCGTGGGGCTCCGCACTCAGCATGGAGTCTGCTTGTCCCTCTCCCTCTGTTCCTCCCCCCGGCCCCCCCAACCCCGCTCTCTCTCTCTCAAATAAATACAATCTTTAAAAAAAGAAAAAAAGAAGAACACAGCTCCTAGAATCTTTAATACTACCTGACCACTTGGCAGCCAACTCAGAGCTGATGACAATTCGGATGCTGGCTAACACCAATCTGCCATCACCTAAGCCTCACTTCTAACTCACTCATCAGATGTGTTGCTGGGATTCCAACTTGGGGTGAATAAATGCAATCAAGTAATAAGCATTTGGGGGCAGGGTGGAGAAAAGACTAAAACAGGGACCATCAATCCCTGTTTAGACCAAGACTCTTTTTCAACAATGTCCTATGAAGACAAAGGAATCTGGAAATGTGCTGGTCAGGCCAGAAGAGAGGATACTCTGAGCAGACTGTATCGAATGTCATCGCTATTCCTGTCAATCACTCCTGAGAGGACACAAGGATAGACCCAAAAAGAGTTATCAGTGTCGCCTGAGCAATGACAGAAGCCATGCCAAGTGCAAGCCACTCGAACCGCACAATCCACGGCCCAGTGGCCACTGTGTGGGAAAAATGAGTGAGGCCGCTTGATTTCCAGCAGCCAGGGTGGTGGGCAGCAGGAGCCCGTGCTGGCTGTCTCCAGGAGATCCTCTCATTTCTGTGTCACTGCAACAGAAGCACCAACTGTCACGAGGGACGGAGAGGAGAGAGGACCATTTTTCCAGCTCCACCACAAAGCTTGTCATCTTTTGGTTAGAAAATACAGCTAGCTCTTGGAACAAAGCTCAAACCATTATAATAATCGGAAAACAGTGCCTACAATGTGCCAGGCACTATTCTCAACATTTTATGTGCATTAACGCTCATCCTCAATGACCTGGTGAGGGAGGTACTCTCCCCACTTTATTGATGAAGAAACTGAAGTTCAAAGAGATGAAGTGGCTTGTTCAATGTAACTGTCCATAATAAGCAGTGGAGCAGAAATGCCAACTCAGGTCTCGCTTCAGAATCAGTGTTTCTTAACCCTAATCGAATCCAGGAGAAATGCTAAGACAACCAGGAATGCAGCCCCAAGGATTCCAAGTGGTCTGGCTCTTTGCCCCTAACCTCAGGAAGACTCCTATTCAATCACATTTTTGTGAGATGCATTTTCCAGATGGGCCTTGCCCTCTCCCAACTGGTCCATTAATTTTCAGTTGCCAGTGGGTGAGAAGTGGAGGCAGAGACCGTCTGAAACCTCGCCCATCGGTCTTCGGAGTGTAAGAGCAGCTTCACCTCAGAAAGAAGAAGACGGCACGAAAAGGCGGAGGACGAAGGCAGCCAGCAGCTGGCCCCGCTGTCTCTCTGGGCCCCTTGCCTGGTCCTGGTGCAGGCTGGCTGGCCGAGGGCCGGCAGGCTGGCACCGTCCAGATACCTCGCTGACCACATCTGAAGTCCTCGCAGGGCCTCTGGGAAGGGGGCCAGTCAGTCCGGCCACTTACTTGCAGCAAAGCAAACAGAAGCTATATTTTTCACTCTTTTTCAAATGTCAGCATTCCAGTCAGCAGGGGTCGTGGGGGACAGGGAGAAGCCCATGTCCTGGACAGGCAGCAGCGCCAGAACTGACCCTATCCCCTAACGAGCTCTTGCTTATTAAATTCTCCTCTTTGTTCTGCTTCTCACCCCTCCCAAAGAGCCAGTCAGCTACACACACACGCGCACACCCCCACCCCCACCACTGTTGACACTGCACTTCTGAAGAGCACCTCTTCACCAGTTTCCAGATTATAAAATTGTTCCATTAAGATCAAATATTGTCAGGGATGGAGAGCTACTCTGCCAAAAGATGACTCATCGCATAGTATCAAAACACTGCACAAAATTAGAGTTCCAAACTTGATTAACTTCATCTGAACCTTTTAATTAACTAGGTTGTTAAAGTCTAAGGGAATGACATTCATCGCTACAGATGATAGGCTAGTGTCTCGGCCCAAGTTCAGGACTTGCCCGTGTAATGGAAAAAGGCAAACTTCGAAAAAGGAGAAACCAAGCACCTTTTCATCTGTTAGAAGAAAAACAATGTACATGCGAATATACTACTATTCTGAAAAAAAAAAAAAAGAAATTAACACTCAAATTCAAATTTAAACTGAATCAGAGTATCAGCTTCGTGTTGTAACAGAAATCTGGAAAGCAGCACTATTATTTATTTATTTATTTTTTTAAGATTTTATTTTTACTTATTTGACGAGAGAGAGACAGAGAGAGAGGGAACACAAGCAGGGGGAGTGGGAGAGGGAGAAGCAGACTTCCCACTGAGCAGGGAGCCCAATGTGGGGCTCGGTCCCAGACCCTGGGATCATGACCTGAGCCGAAAGAAGATGCTTAACGACTGAGCCACCCAGGTGCCCCTGGAATGCAGTACTATTAATCACTGCATTTCTCTCTACAAATTTATTACATTTAAATACTGGAATTATATTTAGCATAATCAGTAAGGCCACCCGAAAAAAAAAATAGCACATTTATAGGTGAGAAAATGAAGTTAATGTTGCAAATTAGCCCCAAATCAATTGCTGTCCTCAATTGAGGGGGAAAAAAAACAAATCTACACAAAAACCTATTCATATGCCTGACTGACACCTAAAGCTTCTCTGTACCTGACACCCTTCCTCCAATCTCTCTGGTTCTCTCCAACCTCCCACAGAACCATTC